GCTTACTTTTGCCATCAGTGGCAGGAGATCTTCTGGCTCCAGCATTCAAGGCTGGGGTTTGGGAGCTGAGGGACCAAAGGTCTAGTCCTGGTTTTCCGTGTGTGTATGTATACGTTCCATGGATTCGTTACAGTAGGGAAATTGAAAAATACTGTGACTCCCTGATTTTGACAGTGGGCTTGTGAGTCAAGCAAATGGGAAGAAAGGCACCGAGTCTGTGATTCATGGAGTGAAATGAGCCAGAGTAGCCAACAAAGGGAGGCAGATCAGGAAGGCAGTAGGAAGGAAGAGCAGACAGCAGCAAGGAAGCTAGTCAGTGAGGTGGAGTTGGGCAGGAAGGCTGCTGCAATGGTAGGTAATAGTAGGGAAGCAGGTTTCTAAATTAGGGAAGGGGATGGGGAAAGTGAATGTGAGGACATCCTGAGAGAAGCAAGCCAGGGCAATGGCGGCTGTACTCTCTGTGCACACTAATTCCTCTGTCTCCGTCCTCCAGAGCCAATCTCCAGTGGAGATCTCAGAGGAGCAGCTGGCTTTGGCTACAGAGAGGCTTCCACTAAGTCCTGCTGCATTTGCTGCTATTAAACTATGTGGATTTTTAAGTGTGCCTGCCCAGTGGCTTTAATACAGTGGGATGAATTTCAAAAGGCAGGATTCTGTTATCCCACATGGAAGGGCTGACTTGGACCAGAAAAAAAACTGCATGCTCCTTAGTGGGTGGTAATTGTACAATTTGTACAATTGTACAAAAAAGTGAACAATCGGCAGATGCTGTATTTGCCTGACCTAATGCTCTTCCTGCATTAGAGATGTAATCACCAGCCTGGAGCATGTCTTGCTGCATGAGGAAAGGGCTCTGAAAAGGTCACTCTAACGCCTTTTTCCTACACGATAATGTTAACTGGATAGCATCTTAGTCTTCTCACTGGTGACCTTTTTAATTTGTGAACAACTCCTGTGATTCAAAGATGAATGTACAATCAGAGGACTTATTTGCTCGGAACAGAGCAATCCTTTATTACTTTGATGCCCTTGTAATTTTTATTATCTGCTTAACGTTTATTTTCTTCTCTCAGCCTCAGTGGTTGCCATTTAAAGTCAGCCCTCACCAACAGCTATTTCTGTGATATCACAGCTATTTCCTATTTTAATGATGGAGAAACACAGCAGTTCTTTTGTATACCACCATGTGGTAAACACCGGCTCTCTAATGGCAACTGCTGTGCTTTTCCTTAATGATAAGATTTTTATCATTTTATTTGGCAAAGAAAACCAAACAGCACAGCTAGTGTTATGAAATCTCTAATTTAGAGGCACTTCTGTTGATGTTTAATGATCAAAATCTTTTCAGCACTTTTGATAAATGGAGGAGAGCATGCTAGAGTTTCTTCTCACCAAGCCATTATGTGAACATTCATGATTCAGCTAAGCCCCATGTGGTAAAGAGCAAGTTGTTCTTCGTGAAACAAACTCTAACACACTGAGATGGTTTAAAGATCTCTGTGTGTACATAAACTGACATGTGCAGCAGTTGCATCAAAAGTCTCTCTGATTCAGCGTGCTTATCTCAAGACAGCCTAGCATTGCAGTGATATTCCAACTAAAGCAAGTGTGTGCTAGAGAGCTAACACTGGAGGTGTAGGTGCATGTGTGGTGACTATGTAGTGGAGAGGAGTGCACTAGAAATACCATAAATGACATTTTTTTGTGGCGGGGGAGTGATGTTATATGAAGAAGATAAACATTCCCATTCAGTATTTCATAAGGAATTATTCAAGAGGGTTTTATGGGTTTTTTTAATTACAAGATTCTTTTAAAATCACAGTACTAATTGTACTGGCTGGTCTGAGTGGTTGAAGCCCTTTATAGGTATGTTCTCTAACAATACATCAATAAAGATAATGTGAGCAGCCGTGTCTCAGCTGCTCAGAGCATCCAGCAGATAAAATCACAATCCCAGGAATTCAGCAGCAATTTTAGTTTCTGTGCTGTGGGTTAGAGCAGATTTTTCTCTGCATCATTTATCACATTGTGCACATATGGTCCCTGTGCTTCATCCCATTCATTCTTATTAAATTTCAACTTGTCCTTTTCAACACACCTGAAGAAGAGCTCTGGGTAACTCAAAAGCTTGTCTCTCTCACCAACAGAAGCTGGTCCAATAAAAGATAGTACCTGACCCACCTTGTCTCTTTTTAACACAGACATGCCTGTGTATTCAGTAATGATTCCTAACTTGGAACCTGCTGAAGGTAAAGAGTGGTGTTTGGGGGAGAGTTGGGGAGCACGGAGTTAGCATGAAGGAGCTTTGATCATTTCTTTTTGTCTCTAAGGCATTTGAAATCCCAGCCCTAGTTTTTAGGCTGTCAGTTGCGTGAAGTTATAAATGGTGTGCCACAGGCAGACGCTCCCTCTCAGTCTCTCTCCCTAACCCACATGATCTTCCTTTACTTCACCTCCAACCACATCGCTAAAGAGGGAAGTGAGTGTAACCCCACAGATTATGTAGCTCTCCCCATGCTCACAGGCCTGTGCCATTCTCTCTTCAGCAGAGCTTGTGAGCGTGCCCCCCAACCTTGCAGCCTCATTCTTCCTTCCTCTGCCATCTCTAGTGTCAGCGAACTTTCTCTGTTGCTGTAGTCACGTTTCCTTTTGATGTGGTGATGAGATTTGATACCCAGCCACATAATGCAGTGCTTCCTTGCAGTAGCACAATCCAAGGTTAACTTCTCAAATGCCCCTGGTGTCTGTCCTCTCTCATTGGCTGCTTGTTCCTCTTCCTGTTCCAGAGTTTCCAGGAATACTAAATTTGCATGTAATAAAAATACTTCTCCAACTGTAAAGCCAAATTCAACCAGCACATGCAACTCCCATTGAAGTCAATGATGATTTAGGCCCAGTTATTCCAGGGCTGAATTTGGCCCCTGCTGATTTTAAATTTGACCATCAGTTGCCTTCTACAAGATCTCAGTGGCTCACTGATTGGCACTTCATTGTAAGAATGTTTATTGCCATGCAAAAGAAATAGCTCCTCCTTCCTGGTGTTCTAACTGCTACATGGAGTAACATGCAGATCTTGGGGAGCTGAATTCTGTGCTCTGTATATGCAAGCGCTATGGTAACCAAGCAGTTGCCTCTTCCTGCTCACTGCTTCCCTCAACTCCTCCCCTGCCAAACAGGCATGTCTCATTGACTGTGGAGAGCATGGAAGAGGAGTCAGTTGCTGTCTCCCTGGCACATTGTCCCAGCTGGATGGAAGTAGGGAAGAAACAGCTGCTGGTATTTAAAAGCAGCTCAGCCCTTGCTGATGAAATCTTGTTGCCTGCTCCTCCTTCCCATCTCCCAGCACTGAGCTTTTGACCAGCACTAGGCTTGTACTCATGGAACAAACCTCCTGGAGCATGATGGTGTTAAAGTGTGGGGTTAATGCAGGCCTGTAATCCACACCTGCTGAGGGACTAACCTGACCTTACACTGGCTTGATGTGTAATTAGTCATTAATTGTCATCTTGTAGCCAATCACAACTGGCACCCTCCATAACATGCATGTAGATTTCATGTCTCAGCTGATCTGTGAGTAGCTAAAATTGACCTGATTTATGTATTTCTATATTTAGGTTTACCTTTTCTCTTGGGTACAGTATTTAATGTCCCAGCCACCTGAATGGCCAGCAGCAGTGCTGTCTGGTGTCCTGTTTCCTGTCAAAGTCCCTTTTGTAGAATATAAATGTATCTCTTTGGGAGTGAAAAGCCACATAGGGAAAGTGAAACAGTTTGGTCCCTAAGGTGTCAAACAGAAGGGCACGCTTTTGGCAACTTTTGCACCGGACCAGTGGTTGTGGAAACGGCTGATAAATGTGCCATATATTTGAGGGATAGTCTCAAACCAAAACACCAGATCTGACCACCCCCAAAGCTTGAGGAAGTTGGATCCTGATTTGCATCTTAACTTTGTGGATTGGCTTCATGTCTATTATTTTTCTAAAAGAAAAATTTCCCTGTTGGATTCCATCCAGAACAAGCAAGCAACTTCCTTGCCAGATAAGCAGCTGTCGCAGTTTCTCGGCATTGAAACGGACATGCCCGATCACACTCACAACTAAATCACATAACATTTAGAAAGTGGAATGAATGCGTGGAACCCAGAGGTGTGCAGATACTATGGTGATGAGCACAATATAAATACCTAATGGTCAGATTGGCAGGTGAGGGAGGTAAAGAAGCTGCATAATGTATTCCCTAGTGGATACAACTGTATGGATACTTGTGGAAACAAATACAGCACCTGATTAATTTCAGTTACATGACTGAAGGGAATCAGCAGATCTTCTGTAACTCCAGCTGTCATGGTGTTTCCAGCTCCGTGTAGCTCAAAAGCTTGTCTCTCTCAGCAACGGAAGTTGCTCTAATAAAAAATATTACCTCATCCCCCTCGTCTCTCTAATATCCTGAGACCGGCATGGCTACAACAACACTGCATACATATAGTGTTTCCAGTGTGGTAATTCTCAGTGTTCCTGGAGAAAAGGCAGTTCTGTGGTATTTTGTATTATGAAATGACATGGACGTGATTTATTCAGCAGTGTTTTGTGACATAACTGGGAGCCTTTTCCTGAGTAAGGACTGTAGGATTTCTCCTGTCATGGTTATAATTCCTTAGCGGATAAGGGGGGTGGGGTTCCTTTCCAAAATAACTGCAGTACAGAAAAATGACTTTGCAATGTCTCAGAACATGAGGGCACTATCTTAATATTCCCCAGTTCATGCAAGTCTTGTCTAGTTGAGTTCTGTGTGGTAATATAGCCATTATAGAGATGAAAGGGCCCAATCATACTCCCACAGGAGTTGGTGGCATAACTCAAATTGACTCCAATAGGAGCAAAATCCAATAAATATCTTCTGCTCTGGTATTTAATCTGTTTATTTTACTGTTAATATCTGGTTTAACACCTCCATCCAACAGCTCTCTGTCACTGTAATGATCCTTTTCTGTTCTCTTTCAGAATGAGAAGGCTTTGGGACATTCCATGAGCCGTTCCAGTAACATCTCAAAGGTACAGTATGCAATGGATTATAGTCTTTGGTAAATTTTGAATTTGTGTGGTTTTCTTTGTTCAAACATGTAGGATATACATTCTGTAGTAATCAATAGAAAGTGCATTTATTATAATGGAGGAAGGCACTCTGTCTAAAAATTAGAATTGTGGATAGTCTGTTCCTATGACATACCCAGGGTACAGTCTAGACTAGTGAGCAGCCGGGTCACCCTTGCCCTTAACCTGGGGTGCCCTTTACACTGCTTTGCTGCTATTGCCTCCACTCCTGGACTGCTCACAAACAGCCTCCAGCATGTAAGTCACTCCCAGCTGTTGCTGTTTGCACTTGCAGCCTGCCAGTTACACCCAAGATTTACCAGCCTGAATTATACTACAGGGTGACTCCCGCATACTCCCAGTCCCAGATTTTCTCCAGAAATGTACATCTTGTACTGCCCAGCTCTCTCCTGGACAATACAAGCTCATATAAAGTCCATCATTTTATTAATAGAAATGATATGCACAAATTTTATTGCCTCAACTGAAGTTTCCCAAACACTTCAATTCAAACATGCTGGATTAGATGAAACAATAAAACAAGTTTATTAACTACAAAGAGAGAGATTTTAAGTGAATACAAGTAATGTGGTATAAAAGTTAGAAATGGTTACAAGAAAAATAGAGATAAAACACAACTAGTGCCTGATTTAACAAAAAGAACAGGAGTACTTGTGGCACCTTAGAGACTAACAAATTTATTTGAGCATAAGCTTTCGTAGCCCACGAAAGCTTATGCTCAAATAAATTTGTTAGTCTCTAAGGTGCCACAAGTACTCCTGTTCTTTTTGCGGATACAGACTAACACGGCTGCTACTCTGAAACCTGATTTAACAAACTACCTTAAATTCAAAGCCATGTTTTTCTCACCACATGTTCTCAACAATCTTACTGGCTGCACTTCTTAGGCCAGAACCCCTTCTTCTGTCTAATGCTGCTTCCTTTGTTCCTTCTGGTGCAGTGAAATGGACAGAGAGAGAGGAGGAGGAGGTGGGGGGCCATTGGGGTGTCTGCCCCTTCTTTTTATAGTCCAGTCCTCCATTTGAGAAGCATCTCCAGCTGGGAGCATGGCGCCGGGTAGACTGTGTGGACAGGAACCCCTGCTGTTTCTTTGCTAAAATGTAGATTTTCTGCCCAGGCCTCTTTTCCTGCCAATGAATAGCCACTTAGCAGGTAGTGGCCCATTGACCTTGTTTACACCTGGCTGAGGTGTCAGCTTGCTCTTTGTCTCAGAGGAACTGGTTTGGCCACTCCACAGACTTGGAATGTGTTTTAGTGACATCATACAGTGGAATCTTATAAGTTTACATACAATGTTGCTACACATATTTTACTAGAACACTAATGCCCTGCAAATTATGAGTTTTCAAATGATACCTCACAAAGCATTCCTCATACAAAGGTTACCACAATAGCGTGCAAGGGCTGACTACAGGGTTACACCTGTCACAGTTCCTAATAATGGAATAGTGTTTAAAAAACTCATGCATGAAATACTTCTGAAAGTCATTTCTTTTTAGCCTTTTCAGAATCTGGGATCTCAGCTCAAAGGGCTGGATTGCGGGTAAAGCCACAGACGGCATTAGGGGAGTGCAGAGGGGCCGTGCTGACTCAGCCAGAATTTCTCCTGGGATGGACAGGCTCCAGTCCTTCCCCCACTGGAGTAGCTGATACCACTGGTAGTGATAGGTTGGATGGAGGAGTCCTGCCATTCAAGCAGTGCTAGGACCATGTCTGTGATTGGCCCTTACACAAGTGGAGTTGGGGGGCAGTTCCTTGCAATGTTTTCTTCCTCCTGTTCTACTGCTCAGGGGCAGTCTCAGTGGAGACCTTTGGTATATCTGATGTGACTGAGTCAGGAGGCTCGGGTAGGTGGCCATTTAATATTTGAATGCTCTGCCCTCTGCAGATGACGCAGGAGAGATGATCCCTTCCCCACAGAGTTTACAGTCTAAGGACTAGATTGTCACTTTGCAGTCTGCCCTGAATAAGGTATGAAATGTAACTGCACCACCCGAGGAACAGACCAAGGCGGGAGCAATGACTGAGAGGCTTTACCAGTAGCAGGTTGCAGTCCCCTCCCACCATGCTGGCTCAGCTCTGCTGCTCAATGAACTGAGGCTGTGGGATTGGAGTCAAGGCTCTGCTCGGTCCGTGGCCCTGCCCACCCACTCCCTGGCCAGAGGAAGAAGTAGCCCCACAAAGGCGGCAAGCTCCATAGCCCTCACGAGGGTTGGGTGAATGACACGTGCCCCCATGCTCCCCAGTGTCAGGGTGTTGTCAGTTGGCTTGTATGCGTGTGTTCTTTCTGTGTACTGTCCCAGCTCTGCACACATAGCTGGTTCAGCAAACCTCAATAGTGCTACCCAGTGCTGTAAAGTGTGGGAGGCTGGAATGTTGTTGTCACGATAGTGCTGTTGAGGCTACACAGTGCTTCTGTCCTTGGAGCTTAAATGTTATTAGTAGACAGTGCAGCAGATAGTTTAGCAGACCTCAACGTTACTCCTAAAGGAAGACTACAGGCACGCTTCAGTGGTGAAGGCAATTGGCCAAGTTTGTTGTCAACGAAGCACGGTACTTGCTCCCTGGATCAGTGTCTACAGTTACGCTAACACATGTATGCTCGTTACAGTGGACTCAGCTCAGTCAGCAGCAGGACTTTCTACTGCCCCTAGGCTGGACAAAGGCTTAAGGTGAAGTATCCCGACATTTATAGGCTGATACAAACAACTGAAATATACAACTACACACCACCTTATGTATTTTATGACATCTCTTTGTTACCTCCCTTTGTTCCTGATACATTGAACAAAACATCCCTATTAATCAGTCTGTCAAACCATCTTGCACTAGATTGGGGTGTATCTGTACTAACCTTGAAATGTACAGTAGAACCTCCATTTCGAACACCTCGGGAATGGAGGTTGTTCGTATATCTGAAGAGAACGTTATGGTTGTTCTTTCAAAAGTTTTCAGCTAAACATTGACTTAATAGAGCTTTGAAGCTACTATGTAGAAGAAAAATGCTTCTTTTAACCATCTTAATTTAAATGAAGCAAGCACAGAAAAAGTTTCCTTACCTTGTCAAATCTTTTTTATTAAACTTTCCCCTTATTTTTCTGAAGTAGTTTACATTTAACACAGTACTGTACTGTATTTGCTTTTTTTTTCTGCTGCTGCCTGATTGCTTACTGCCGGTCCCAAATGAGGAGTGTGGTTGGCTGGTCAGTTCATAAGTCTGGTGTTCGTAACTCTGAGATTTTAGCTGTAGCTCACGAAAGCTTATGCTCAAATAAATTTGTTAGTCTCTAAGGTGCCACAAGTCCTCCTTTTCTTTTTGCGAATACAGACTAACACGGCTGCTACTCTGACACCTATTGTATTTATGTAACTATCTAATACCTAATACACTAACAACAACTCTACCAAATTCATAAACTTATAAACATCTACTTTGATACTTGGTCGAACTTTAATTCATGGCCTCTGATTCAGGCCTCAGATCTTGTACCCAGTGCTCCAGGCTCTCTCTGCCACATTCCCATGCTTTTTATCTTTTTATGGGGAGGATGTTTACCCATCATCCTGGTAAAACATAACGCATGGATTGAATATGACCCAGTAGTCGCAAACACTGTTTCCTGGCTGTTTTGCTTTACCCATCCATACATTCATGCCCCACATGTCTAATGGTCTGCATGTTCCCTTGTATGACCTGTGGACAGTTTTCTTTTTCCAAATGTTCTTAGTCCCACATTTTGGGCCTGGGAGTATTAGGTTTGGCACTTGGTTTGAGGGATGTAGTTTTCAATTAATTTTTAAAAACTGGGATAAGCACTATTACAATATACTCTACAGTTTTATGTACATCAGGAGTAAAACAGGAATTTGGAATAGTGAAATCACAATTGAGGCCTTCATATATAATTTTTTTTTAAATTAGTTATTACACAGTACTCTACATCCATGTTATAGGTTGCCCTTACTGCTGGTTGTCACCTCCTAAGAGACAATATTTCCCTTTTCGCAAGCACAGAGTCTGAGTGTAGCAAAAACTTTTAATAAAAGGAGGGAAGTAACCCGGCATTAACTTGGGAAAACACCGCAAACAGGGTTCATAAACATAAACCATGAGCAAAAGACCCACCCCCAAGTAAGTTGGGCGGTGTCCTTTCCCCTGAGGTTCTTAAGTCCAGCAACCAAAAGTCCCTTTAATCATAGAATCATAGAATATAAGGGTTGGAAGGGACCCCAGAAGGTCATCTAGTCCAACCCCCTGCTCGAAGCAGGACCAAATCCCAGTTAAATCATCCCAGCCAGGGCTTTGTCAAGCCTGACCTTAAAAACTTCTAAGGAAGGAGATTCTACCACCTCCCTAGGTAACGCATTCCAGTGTTTCACCACCCTCTTAGTGAAAAAGTTTTTCCTAATATCCAATCTAAACCTCCCCCACTGCAACTTGAGACCATTACTCCTCGTTCTGTCATCTGCTACCATTGAGAACAGTCTAGAGCCATCCTCTTTGGAACCCCCTTTCAGGTAGTTGAAAGCAGCTATCAAATCCCCCCTCATTCTTCTCTTCTGCAGGCTAAACAATCCCAGCTCCCTCAGCCTCTCCTCATAAGTCATGTGTTCTAGACCCCTAATCATTTTTGTTGCCCTTCGCTGGACTCTCTCCAATTTATCCACATCCTTCTTGAAGTGTGGGGCCCAAAACTGGACACAGTACTCCAGATGAGGCCTCACCAATGTCGAATAGAGGGGAACGATCACGTCCCTCGATCTGCTCGCTATGCCCCTACTTATACAGCCCAAAATGCCATTGGCCTTCTTGGCAACAAGGGCACACTGCTGACTCATATCCAGCTTCTCGTCCACTGTCACCCCTAGGTCCTTTTCCGCAGAACTGCTGCCTAGCCATTCGGTCCCTAGTCTGTAGCTGTGCATTGGGTTCTTCCGTC